GGATACTGATACATAGGTGAGGACATGCCAGTGAGGCTAAATAGCTTTCTCAGGGTCATACTGATACAAATGTTCAACATAGGCTGACTTTCTTTTTTTTGGCTGGTTGACATTCTCTGGTTAGAATATGTGCTCCTGGAATGGGTGGAGGAAAGAGATTAGGGTTCTGATGTCATAAGGAACTGGATTTCTGAGAAGCACATTTGTTCATTGCTGACCATGTACCATGACTCAAGCTGCTATGACCTGGCATTTTAGGAAGTGGGGTGGGTTTGGGGGAACTGATCTTGGCAACACATTAATTTCCCCCCTTATTCCCCAAAACACTGATTTCCCATCCTGCAATGATGAAAAATAGCAAAAACGATTCTCCTTTAACCACAGAAACATTACTTAAGAGTCTTATGAATAAAATTTTGGGTTGTGTGCTATGAGATGGTTTAATCTTTTAAAAGTCCATTTTAAACAGAATTTTAAAAATCCATCTTAAATGTCCATTTTAAATGTCTGGTGGCATGTGGCAATGTTACAAGGACACTTCGTGTTTTGAAAAAGAAAGCCCAGGTCTTAATGTGGCAGATTTGAAGAAGCTGGCTCACAAGGTTGTTATCAAGCTGGTTGCTTAACTGTCCCTCAGAAGGCAAAGGAAATAGCTCAACATTGAAGAGTAAATACTATTCTCAGGAAAACTAATAATAGGAAGAAGGAGCTGTCCTGGAGGAAAGTGAATGGGCCAATACCCATCCTTTTCTCCCCAGCCTGGAACTCAGAGAAGTATTTGTTTCACTCCATTTGGAAAGGGCATTAACGCCTTGAAGCCTGCAGTGGTACAAGTCCTGTTTACTTCCCAGTTCTGGGGAAATCAGAATAGTTGTAGGATAGTCAGAGGGAAGTATTTTCAGACAGAAATTTAGTTACAGGAAGAAGAACATGACTTGAACTTTCTATGAAATGCCAGGATTGAACTAAATGTGGAATAATTTTTGAAGCTTAGAAAGGTTAATTTTGTTTAGTATTATTTTCTCAGAATGTCCACAGCTTCTGATTTCCCTTAAAGCATCAGTGTCAAGGGATAATTTATTCTGTTACTACTGTAGACTCCAACATGGCAGTAGCTAGAGCTGTATTCTATTTAAACACAGGCCTAGGACTTTAAGGGGTTGGTTAGTCCATAAACATATTAAGTGTTCACTCTATGCAAAGCACCCTGCCAGATGTGTCAAATATGCAAATAAGGACATAGGGATGAACTCTGGCCTCCAGAAGCTAAGATATCTACGTTAAAAAAAAAAGATGCCCAATGAGTCCTCTAGTTAGTGTATCTTATAGTCAGTAAGCAGAGTGGGAAAATTCTTTCATTCATTCATTCCTGGTGCTTCTGTACTCCAGGTGTCGTTCTAGGGTTGGGGGAGTTTCTTAGAGGAATTTCTCCTTTTATAAGTTCATATAAGGGAGAGGATCATATTTTCTAGTTGGAAAACTAGACAAAATTAGGGTTCAGAATGAGCAGACCTAGAGGAAGTTAAAGGTGGCCAAGGGTTCATTCATTTTCCCTGGCAAAGGGGAGGTGATGTGCAGGGTTATAAAAGGGTTCATATGCAGGAGAGACATAACCTGCAGGGAGTGTTTTTGGAGATCAGTCTGGCCAAAGACAGCTTGGACTGGAGCAGGTGTGGGAATGGGGAAGACCAAGGGGCAGAGGCAGACCAAGACAGAGGCCAGGTGAGAAGCTTTTGGGAATTCCAGAAAGTGGCATTGAGAAGCAAAGGAATGGATGGGTGTTAGAGACAAGGAAACAGGTGACGGTAACGCCAAGAGTTGGCAGTGGAGTTGAACACTAAGCTGCACAGATCCTCCTCTTCCTCAGGCCTTGACATCATCTTTGGAGGTACAGGGCGTGGTTGACAGATGTTTTCTAGTTTATTTTTTAAGTCAGTAGCAGGGAAAGTGTTGGAATCAGTCTGAATTTAAGAGAATTAAGGCCCCACTCTGAGTACCTCTAGTTCTGGATTAGATGACAGAGTCACAAGGCCAAAAGTTTTCAAGCTTTGTAAAGCAGGGGAAGTCTTAGGTAGCCACCTCTGTTGCACCCCCACTGAGCCATGGCGCTTTAAGAAACTGTTACCCCTTTTATACTATTTGTGTGAATGGAGCATAAATGGGGACATCTCAATTAATATTTAAATTCCTGGGTTTCAGGTATCTACAGTAGGGGTGCAGTGTTCTGGATGCACAGAGGTGAACAGAATAGATGGTGCGAGGGGTCAGGGCGAGGTCTCCACTCTCATGATCAGTTTTTTTAAAAAAATATATATTTTATTATTTTTTTACAGGGAGGAAGGGAGAAGGAGAGGGATAGAGAGTTAGAAACATCAATGAGAGAGAAACATCAATTCAGCTGCTTCCAGCACACTCCCTACTGGGTATGTGCCCGCAACCAAGGTACATGCCCTTGACCAGAATCGAACCTGGGACCCTTCAGTCCGTAGCCCGACACTCTATCCACTGAGCCAAACCTGTCAGGGCTCTCATGACCAGTTTGATGAAGATGAAGACATGACTAATAGCCACACTCAACCATATATGATTACAAATTGTAATAAGTGCAACAGAGGCAAAGTCTAAGGGATAATGGTAGAGCATAGGGCAGTGATGGTGAACCTATGACACGCGAACTCATTTTTTTGGTTGATTTTTCTTTGTTAATTGGTATTTAAATATATAAAATAAATATCAAAAATAGAAAACTTTGTTTTACTATGGTTGCAAATATCAAAAAACTTCTATATGTGACACGGCACCAGAGTTAAGTTAGGGTTTTTCAAAATGCTGACACACCCAGCTCAAAAGGTTCGCCATCACTGGCATACGGGGTAGTGGTCAGGGACAGCTTCTAGGGGAAGTGACAAAGTAAGACCTAAAGGTTGTGTAAAAGCCTGGGGGAAAGCATTCCAGTGAAGGAGGGGAAGGGCTTATCCCTTGAGGTCAGAAACAGGGCATGTTGGTGGGGCTCAGTGCATGATGGGAAGGGGATGTTCTCACCTTCTCCATTGCTACTATGTGTCAAAGCCACCATCATCTCCCTCTTTCTGGACTAGCCTAGTAGCCTCCTAGCTGGTCTCTGGGCTTCCATCTTAGCCTGTCTCCCTCTCTTCTACCTGCTTCCCCCCACCCCCTAGCCAATCTATTGCTCACACAAAACTATGGTGATTCTTTATAAATTGAATCATATCCTGTCATTCCTCTATCCTGTGCTCACCCATTCAGAGTCCTTCCCGTGGCTGACAAGGTGCTGCATTACGTGGCCCTGATACCTCTCAGACCTCTTTCCCACCTTGCCCTCCTTTCTCTCCGCACTGTGGCACACTAGCCTCGCTGCAACGGGAGACACATTTGTCTCAGGGCTTTTATACTTGACATTTTCTTTGCCTGGCATCATCTCTCAAATGTTTGCTCCTTCATTTTGCTCAGGCCTTTGCTGAACTCTTTTTCATTTTTGGAGAGATGCCTCCTCCTCCTCCTCCTCCTCCTCCTCCTTCTCCTCCTCCTCCTCCTCCTCCTCCTCCTCCTTCTCCTCCTCCTCCCTCCTCCTCTTCCTCCCCCTCCTCCTCCTCCTCCTCCTCCTCCTCCTCCTCCTCCTCCTCCTCCTCCTCCTTTTTAAAAAAGGTATTCTTTAATCTGTTTTAATTTTCTTCCCAGCACTTTTCTCTACAGGACATTGTGTTCTGTATTTGGTTTTTGCTAGTCTTTCCCATTAGAATGAAAGCTGTAGGATGTCAGGGTCTTGCTGCACACCAGCTGGACTGGTATCTGGTACATAATAGGTGCTTACTAAATACTTGTGAATGAATCAATGACTCACCATTCATGTTGGAGAAGTAGGCAGGCCCAGAGGACTGGGGGCCTCATGAGACTTGAAAGATTTTGCACTTTATCCTAAGGGCAGTGAGAAGCTATTAAGGGTTTTAAGCACAGGAGTGATGAGATGAGATACATTTTGGAGTTAGATTTCAGAAGACTCATTTAGCTCAGAAGTGGAAGGCAAGGGAGAAGGAAGCACCAGCACAACGACAGGTTCTTCTGAAGAACAACAGGATGGGTGGCCGTGGCATTTGCCGAGAGGTGCGATTTGGGGAGGGCAGTTTGAACATGAGCTCAGCATTGCTGTGTTTCATGTGCGGTGCCTGGGAGATGTGTAGGGGATGTGGCCAGTGGCGGGTTGGATGTACAGGACTGAAGAGCCACCAGAGGGCAATTGTGCTGTTCCCTCTGGCGGGGGAATTGGGGCTGGGAATCACATGCCATGGGCTGAAAGCCTAGCCAGTGGTCGGCAAACTGCGGCTCGGCAAACCGCGGCTCGCGAGCCACATGCGGCTCTTTGGTCCCTTGAGTGTGGCTCTTCCACAAAATACCGACTTCTGCGCGTGGGCCACGAAGTTTCAATCGCGCTGCACGTGTGCGCCCGCACATGGTATTTTGTGGAAGAGCCACACTCAGGGGGGCAAAGAGCCGCGGTTTGCCGACCACGGGCTAGGCAGTGCTTGTTTGTGAGATGAAAGGCCTTTTCAGCATTTCACAAGTTGGGAGCAGCCATCTTTCTTCCTTGAAGGTGGGACAGGAGAGTGGTTTTTTAAATTTTTTTATTTTATTAATTCCCTGTTAATTCAAAGCTGCTCCCTAAACACTGAATGGATGACCTTGGACAAGACAAACTTTGCGAGGTCTAGTGTTTTCTCCTGTAAAAGAACCGTAATAGTCATTGTCCACTAAGTGTTTTGGTGAAAATTAGATGGGATAATACACAGAAAGCATTAGACAGGGAGCACAACTAATACCTATTATTTTTAGTTTTATGGAAGCTACCAACCTGACGCTTCCTCTCACCTTCTCTCCTCTGGTCACAGGAGGGGGGACTGGCCAGTTCTAGGCTGCCTCTCCTGAGTCTAAGCCTGATGCAGCCTCACGCGCAGGCTCCTGAGTGGTTGTCTCTCTCTTTCCAGGATATCAACCAGAAACTGCAGGAGGACAACCAGGAACTGCGGGACCTCTGCTGCTTCCTGGATGACGACCGGCAGAAAGGCAAGAGGGTGTCCCGGGAGTGGCAGAGACTGGGCCGCTTCACGGCCGGGGTGATGCACAAGGAAGTGGCCTTATACCTGCAGAAGCTGAAGGAGCTGGAGGTGAAGCAGGAGGAGGTGGTGAAGGAGAACATGGAGCTCAAGGAGCTCTGCGTGCTGCTGGACGAGGAGAAGGGCGCGGGCTGCGCGGGCAGCCGCTGCTCCATCGACAGCCAGGCCAGCCTGTGCCAGCTCACCGCCTCCACCGCACCCTACGTGCGGGACGTGGGCGACGGCAGCAGCACCTCCAGCGCAGGCAGCACCGACAGCCCCGACCACCACAAGCAGCACGCGAGCGGCGGCAGCCCCGAGCACCTGCAGAAGCCGCGGGCGGAGGGCAGCCCCGAGCACACCAAGCACAGGAGCACCAGCCCAGAGCACCTACAGAAACCCAGAGCCCCCGGGACCCCAGATCACCCCAAAGCACTCAAAGGACCCAGCCCCGAGCACCACAAACCCCTGTGCAAGGGCAGCCCTGAACAGCAAAGGCACCCGCACCCAGGCAGCAGCCCGGAGACGCTGCCCAAGCACGTGCTGAGCGGGAGCCCCGAACACTTCCAGAAGCACAGAGCCGGGGGCAGCCCCGAGCACGCCAGGCACAGCGGGGGGAGCCCAGAGCACCTGCAGAAACACGCCCTCGGTGGCAGCCTGGAGCACCTCCCCAGGGCCAGGGGCACCAGCCCGGAGCACCTCAAACAGCATTACGCGGGGAGCCCTGACCACAAACATGTGGGCGGTGGAGGCGGCGGAGGAGGCAGCAGGGAGGGCACCCTCCGAAGACAGGCGCAAGAGGAAGTGTCGCCCCATCACCGGAATGTCTACAGTGGCATGAACGGTGGGTCAGTACGTGCTGGGGATTGCTTTGGCCGGGCAGCTCAGTAGAGAGATCTGGATGATAAAGGGCAGCCCAGCCAGATTAGAAAGTGCAGGCGCTGGCCAGGGGGTGGGTTGGGGGAGGAGCAAATATTTGCCCTAATTCATCATGTGTGCTTCTTCCCCTCGATTGGATTTAGTTTATACAGTTATGAGTCAAGTAAGCTTGGAGAAAAAGAGGAGGGGTTAGGGGAGGGAGAGGAACAATAATTCCTATGGGCTCTGAGTAGTTGGGGTGAGATTTATGGGAACTGAAGATGAAACCAACCCACTCTAAGATTCTTCTATCTTGAACTTGAGCATTTTCCTAGTTGTGTGCAGTCTCCTGCTGGAGCTCACTGGTGAAACAGGTGACCAAAAGGTTTTCTAATCCAATTATAGTAAACTAGAGGTCTAGTGCAGGAATTCATGCATGGGTGGGGTCTGGCCGGCCTGGCCCGAATTGTGGCAGCCAGCTGGGGGGAGTGACCGCAGGCCTGCCCCTGATAGGGGTGGGGGGGCCGATTGGGGGCAGGGCAATTATGGGGAGGGGCTGTGGGTGGTGGGCTAGCCTCCCCGCCCCTGAATGGGGTGGGGGGAGCTGATGGGGGCCAGAGGCCTGGGGCAGGGGCCATGGGTGGTTGGCCACTGGCCTTGCCCTTGATCGCAGTGGGGGGGACGATAGGGGGGCGGAGCTGACTGGGGGAAGGGGCCGCACGCAGATGCAGTAGTGGGAGCCCATGGGGGTAGAACTGACTGGGAGGAGGGGCGGCAGGTGGTTGGCCGGTGACCCTGCCCCTGATCAGGGTGGGGGGGCCGCCGATTAGGGTGGGGCTGGGCAGGAGGAGGGGCTGCAGGAGGTTGGCCAGCTGCCCCCCCCCCACCCATCGGCCAGCTAGCCACAGTGGGGTCATAGCCACTGGTCATTAGGCATTCTGGTTGCTGGTTCATATATATATATATATATATATATATATATATATATGTATATATATATGTACATATATATATACATATATATATGATTATTTATTATGAAAACCAATATCATTAAAAAGGAAGTATGGTGTCCCTAAACAGGCTTGATGCTGGGTTGCCTGAATGCCTATAAATATGCTTTACTTGACCTTGAAGATTTTTTTTTTTTGGTTTTGGGGGCCTTCGCATGAATATGTGACTTTACTTTGCATCTAAAATGTATCAACTGATTCCCTTCTCTACTTACTCAAAACCACCCAACCCTCCCAACCAAACTCCCTGAAACGTATTCTAAATAGCACGCTCTTTGATTTCAACATGAGAAATATTTTTCGGTTATCTAAATGTTCCTTTAAAAAAATGTACAGATGTGTTTGGACACTCCTTTGGTTTCCACAGCATGATATGCACTGCATTTGCTGAGGTTGCTCTAAACCCAAGTTTTTAAACCATTGGAAGAGGTTTAATTTTCTGCATCTTGGTTCTGAAACCATCTTGAACTCGAGAGGGGAAAAAATAATTTCTTCAAAAAACAAATGAAAAACCCCTTACCATCCTGTTATGTTACTTATGGTTGAGTTGGAACTAAAATGATTGGTTTTGTGAACTGTGGGCTCTTTTCATTCAAAATATCTGAGGTTTCTCACTCTATTTGAAAGCTGCTCAGGAGTCAGTGGCAGTCAGCTTTGAGCTGTGGTGGCTTCCAATTTTAGCAGCAACACAATGGGGTAAATTTTCAATGTTGTACTTGAGGATTTACCTGTTGGATTCCATTTCATCCTAATCCTTTTCTTGTAGTGCTGAAAATTGACTCCTGAAGCTTGGCTTCTAATGCATCCAATGTTCTCTTAAGCACACATGGAACTAGAAAGGGTGGGAAAGGTCGGATGGTTGGTGGTTTGTGTTGGAAGATGGAGACAGGGAGAAGCCAATTCTCCCGTTGTGTAGAGGCCTCCTGGCTGACTGGGGCTTTTAAGTTCACTGCGTGTCACTCACTCTTTCCAGGAGAGGCAGAGATGCTGCCGCGATGCTGAGGGCAGCCTTGGCTGTGCAGCTCTCACAGGGATGAAAGTCATTGAGAAAGATATTTTGGTTGTGTTACTACCAAAGATAGGTCATTGACATGAAGCTTGTCTTCAGGGGGTAATGGGTTAACAGGAAGGTGATGTTAATGGCTTTTCCATTTCTTGATTACTTTTTGATGAACATGAAAAGTGAATGATGTGCACTGTTTTAAGGAAAATGTATGGTGAACAAGAAAAAAATACTTACGGGCAGGTGGTTAACTTACACAACTATTCTCTTTACAAAATGACGTCTTAAAGTAAAGAACTCATTGAGCTTAATCAATGTATGATTTAGTGTACAAGAAAAGTTTTTAGGTGCGACTGTTAAATGATGCCTGGCATAAAGTAAGGTTTGTCTCTAGAGAAGGATGACATTACATCATGGCTTACTGTTGCCTGGATTCAGATAAACATCGTGGGTCAGGCAAATGATTTATAAAATGTAGCCATTTTATTCAGTTAAAAATTTGATGTGTCATTTAGAATGTCACTATATTTAATTTTTGTGTGTTTACTTCTTTTCTTATTCTAAAGTGACAGATCTTTTGACAGTTGATATCCTCACCAAGGTATATTTGTAGCACATTTGCATTATGTTTTTAGTTCAGTAATTAATTGGAAAATGAAGTGGCACAATGTTCATGGATCATCAGCCTATAAACAAGGCACTGGCAGCTTGTATTAATCCTGCTGTTACAAATTAATTTTTGATATGGATGGTAAGACATGATCTTTTATACTTACAAATCACCACACACTTGCTTGAGTCATTGGTTTATAAACAGATAGGAACCAGTAGCAAGTTTAATCTCAAATTGCAGATTTGCCAAGTCACTTACAGAGTCATTCTGTTGCAGTTGGTGTGAGATCTGAGTGTTTTGGATGAGCACTTGCATGCTTTTATTATGAACAGAAAGGAGGTGAAAGTAGGTGGAAGTGTCTGCATTATACGGCAGGATGAAACAGAGATGGTGGGATATTGTCCTACTTGTAAGAATATACATCCCTCTAAGAGGACACAATATATACACAGAAGGAACATTAGTGAAACAATTGCTGTTTTAGTTGACTGTGCCTTGAGCATCTTTAAGTCTTCTTGTGCCTTCAGGGGCAAGCTACTGGATTAATTAGTAGGTGAACTTGACCTCCAAGAGTTTCCTTTGGTTAAAACAGTTGGCTTAATTTCCTACTGGATGCAAAGACAAATTTTAGGCAGTTTTCTCTTAAAAATATCTAAGGCTATATAGTCACTTTTCAATTAGTAGCTGATTCAAAAACAAAGACAAAAAAAAAAAGCCACAGGAAAAAAAATCTGTAAATTGAACAAAATGCTCATGAATTCATTTACTTGTTTAGAAGTTATTATTCAACTATTTGTTTTCAGTTTGTAGAGAGTTCAATTTGCAAAGATGAAGCAGATTCAACACTTATCACATCTAGACATTAAGGCATTTGTCTATTCATTCAAGTTACTTGCTGTATTCCAGATTTGTAAACCAAGTAATTGAATAGCCACTTCTAGCTATAAATGTACACAAACTGATAGCCTCCTTGAGAATGGGGGATTCGTTTACCTGACTCCATTGAAATCCAATGTTGGATTAAACTTTTTTAGGTGAAAGTGTTCCCTTTCACAAGGAGACCAAGGGCTTTTGCTTCCAGTTATCAGCTGGCAGATCTTTGCTTTTTAGCAGAAAGCGTTTTAGGTCATGGATGCCATGGATGATTCAGGTTCTTTCAGCAGCAATAGCTCTGTTTTATTGTTAACCTTCCAGACAGGGATGATTCTGATCATCAGGCCTTTCTTTACAAGTAGTCTTCCACCTCTGGGACATTATGAACCCAGCCAAAAAATAATAACAAGAATTTTATTTTAATTCTAGAAGCACATATTTCTGGTTATCAGCAACTGAGAAAAAATTCGTAGAAGAAACATTACTCCTTATTTTATTGTTTATCTTCTTTCTCCTGAAAGTATTGCTCAGTTATTATTAATTTGACATTTGAGGGCAGGTTCCAGTGAACGATAGCTTCATACCCTCCTTCGACATCACCTAGCCAATGAGAGCACGCACAGGGCATTATTCACTTATCTTAGACAAGGACCCTTTAGAACTGCACTTGTGCATTTGGCCTTGCAGGACGGAGTGTCAGGGTTGCGAGTCTTCTTCCTGAAAGCTTCTTACCGCCTCTTTTCCTCTTTCATGTGAGTATCTCTAGAGATAGAAAGAGCGTGCTGTTTCTCCCACTGACTCTTCCTCTAGAGCAGCAGTTTCTCAGCAGCAGCACTGGTCACATTGGGGGCCATGGAAATCTTTGTTTTGATGGGGTCGTTTTGTGTGTTGTAGGAGACTTAGCAGCAACCTGGGCTGTAGCCATGAACCACCCCCAGGTGTGACTACTTAAAATGTCCCCAGACCCGGCCAAATGTTCCCCGGGTGTGGGCAGAATTGCCCCTGATCCAGAATCACTGCTTTGGAGCCGAGTTTTCCAATCTGGCTGCAGATTAAAATCACTGTGGTAGCTGTGAAAAAACACCTGTGCCTGGGCCCCACACTCAAATGCAGATTGAATTGGTCTGGCACTGGGCCTGGGCCCGTTGCAAAATGAGCTCCTCAGGTGAAGCCTGTTGCCCCAGGCTTTTTAAGATGGTTGGTGTGGGTGAAGCTCTCAAACACCCAAGCCTCCTAGGGAGAAGAAAGTTAACTTTTCCCTTTTTTGCTGAAATGAACTCCAGAACTGAGGAGGACTGACCCCAACAGGTACTGTAAGACTTCACCCCTCTCAGCCCAGAGCAAGGCTGTATTATAATGCACAGGTTGGGGGGCTATGCTTTGAAAATTTGAGTTTTTGGCGGGTGGACTTATTAGGCTAATTTTGGGAAACCCTGGTATATGGATAGTTCGAGATTACTTTTTAAAGCCTTTGCATCCAGATG